CCCCCCGCCCCCAAACCCAACAGAGGTGGTAAGAGAGCAGGTCACTGTATGGTAGGTATGCAAACAACTAACATGGAAGCCAGTCCGGTGACTAGGAGTAGAGAGTGATCCTCAAGTAAAGTCTCAGAGTACTGGATATCAGCAGTCTGTGTTTCTCAACTTTATTCTACAGGCACCCACGAGAAAACCCATTCCATAACCTGAAGGTTCTCCTGGTGTCAGACCAGCAGCAGAACTTCCTGGATCTGTGGTCTGAAATCCTCATGACGGGGGGAGCAGCATCTGTTAAACAGCATCACTCAAATGCTCACACCAAAGGTACTCCTTGGCCCCTTTCTCAGGCCTAGCAGTTGGGAATCCCATGCCACTGTGGTCTCCAGTATGGTTTAAAACCACTGAGGAGAGCTTACAGGGTTGTCTGTAAGCATAAAGGAAGGCAAAGTGCAGACACTAGCTAGAGAGCTTGAAGGTAATCAATGTACAGGACCCACCTTCCAGAGAAGGAGATGGTGGAGCAATTCAGGACACAAGCTGTTGGCTTCCAGCCTGTGTTGAAAGGGAGAAATAGGCAAGAGTTGCTCCTGGACCTTCTGTAGGCCACTAAAATTGTGCTTCCTTGTCCTTCTGACCTCAGCTGTCCTCTCCCTGTGGGATGTAGTCCCTCGTGCTCACAGCCCGCGGTCAGGGCTCACGGTCAGCTAGTCTGCCTGTACTGTTGGCTGCTGGTTTTGTGTTAACTTCTGTCTGGACTAGAGGGAATCTTTTACTTTCAAGGTGCTGTGTTGCTGCAGAGCATGTGTTAACTTTTACACAGAGAATTCACTGTCTAGGAATGAGAGGACATCGAAGAGAGATTGGTGGTGGTGAAACACTGATCTGTGTCTGCAGAGATCCTTGTTCTTCTTTCATCTGACAGATGCCTGTCTTTCCTCCTGTGCAGATATTGCTTTAGGTGTTTATGACGTGGTGGTGACTGATTGTTCCTGCCCAGCTGGTATCTTGAAGTGTGCAGAAGCTTTATGGCTGCCTGTTGTCTCGCAAGAGTGGGTGATCCAGAGCCTTATTGCTGGGGAGAGAGTAGGCTACAACAAGCATCCAAAATACAAACATGACTGTGACCCCCGCTGACCTGAAACTTTGCCTGGTTGTGCAGACTGTGTTTTAATCAGGTTTTAAATGTTTGTGTAATTGGACAGTGTGCATGGATTACTGTACATAGTTTTATCTGCTGGACTTTTATGATGAAATAAATGTTCAATCTCTTGCACTAGCTCCTGGGACTCCTCATTTATCAAAACTTACTCTAGGGCTGTGCCTCCAGAGAAGGAAGGCAGAGAGAAAAGCAATGTTTACATTTCTCTGAGCTGAACAGCGCTAATATTCTACTTTCAGTAAAGGCTGACCTCACCACAGTCAATTACAAAGGAAGGGAAAGGTGTTCTCCGCGGGCAGCATGTATTTGCAGAGGTGAATACCCTGTGGCCAGCCTCAGGATTGCAGCAGCAGCAGTGCTTCTGTTTGTTGTTGGAAGAACAGCACGTTGTGTACTCTTCCAGCTTGCTGCTGTTATTTTCCATGTATTTCATCAAGATGTTGCTGAAATGACTGGTAAGAATTTCTAGGACAAAATGCCATTTTGTTGTGCTTACCTCTCTTTTTTTCCTGTTGTGACTGTACAGGTATGAAGATGCCTCAGTGCAGACTGGCACTGCCGAAGTAGAGATACAGACACAGGGACCTAGGACAACTCAACTGCTGGGAGGGTGAGGTGCAAAGAGTGTATAGGTGCTGTGTTTCTTTGTTTAAACGGTAATGGGGTAAATAATCATCTTCTGAGCTGCTGCAGTCACAGGCACTTTATCTTAATGGTCAACTAAGAGAGGATTTTTCTCCCCCAAGTACACATAACTTGCTCAAGAGCTGCAGCTTTAGATACTGTGAAAAATACCAACCCTTGGAGGGGACGACTGGTTTCCTGGCAGCCTTTGTGTTCAAATTGGGAAAGCTGATACTACATCCCAGTGACATCTGGGAGGGCTCTCTTCTGTCGCTCATACAACTGTACTTAGGGCCAGATGGTCTGTTTGTTAGCACTAGGCTAGGAAATCTTCGTAACATGCAAGACGTTCCTGCCAGATGCTGCTTTTCATTGAAATGGGATGCTGTGCCACTCTAGTCCCTTTGCACTTGGGTGCGGACATTGACAATATTCCACATAACAGTGTGACAAGATGGTTTTATTTTGGTTCAGTAGTAGCATTCTAAATAGTCTTGGAATGAAAACAGTGCAGTGAGAGCTGGCGTCCTAGGTAAGTTTCTCCTTGGTTTTAGTTCTAGCACTTTTCTGCCAGCAGAAGGAGCTTTGTACTTTGAAAAGGGCAAAGCTCCTTTCTGTCTCAATGTGCATAATTTTAGCACACAAAATGTATTAAGTTTTACAGAGAAAGTGTACGACATCACTAGTGACTCCTTCACCTACACAGACACACTAGGACAGTGCACTGTACAAGAAGAGATTCTTAACATCTCTTCCTTCTTCCCTCCCTCTTTACCTCCAACTGCTATTGCAGTTGTTTCCTGTACCTGGAGGAATGTATTTGATGAGCAGACACTGGTGTGTGGTACACCAGTTTACTGCACAGGCAGAACTTCTGAATACAGCCAAAGCTTCATTCATGGTCAGGAACAATGGACTACTTCCTCCATGCTCCAGCCTGCAAAGGATCACAGTCCGGCTGAAGAGTCAGGACATAATTATTGTGGCTTTTTCACTCTCTGAACAGGCACAGACTGCCTCCCTAGAAGCATTTAGAAGTGTATGCAGGGCTGCAGAAAGCATGTTCTCACTAGTTCAGAAACAATGGAGTAGCTTTCTGCCATCACCAGGCAGTCTCACAGAAGTGGCACTTCCTGCCAGTTCCTTCTGAAGCAGTGGGTCCCCAGGCAAGAGCCATGTGCAAAGAAAAATTCCGTTGAGTGCAAACTCTCCAAGAGCACCAGTCTCCACTGCTTGATGCATTGTTGGTCACAGCCTGAAGAAACGGTCTTAGTGCTTAAACCCCAAAACTGCAAGAGAAGGGTATAGTATTAGCTACGTGTTGAAATCAACACCCTTTATCAACCCCCCTCAGCATTCTTCAGCCAATATGAGCTAGCAGGTAGTTCAACTTAATGCCAAAACCAACTTGAAGGGGAGAACGCATATGAAAACCAAAAATTCAAGAACTCATGCTAGTTTGTTACTTTTCTGTCATAATATTTAGTAACACTTTGCTTCTAATTAGTTTGGCTTACACAATCAGTAAAAAAGACTTACAGTCATTTAGATCGCTTTCTACTTCAAGAACCTCAGGATAATGCTACGAGCAACCCTAAAGATCTTCGTACCTGCCCAAGGTTCCTCCAGCCTGGGTGTAGTATTTGTTGTAATCCAAGCGTAGCAGCAGTTGAGCTAAGTCAGAGTTTATCTGATGGTTGCGAACACTAGAGAGGATCTTGAAGAGAAGTGATGACTGACGACTGAATCCCTACAAATTAGAAAAAAGTTAGTTCTGGGAAGAAAAGAAAGAAGGAGAAAGCCTTTCATCTCTGTTTCTGCCTAAAGAATCTTTTACCAGCCTGAAGGAAAGAGTCACTGCAAGAGAAGTGATGCATGTGGTCCAACGTAAGGTAAGATGTCAGCCACAAGCATTATTAGGTGTTGGGTACCCAGAAGGAGGGGTAGAGGCATAGGCTGACATCCACCTCCTTTCTATTCCAATAGGGAAATTTCTGTATATCTGCCCACGTTCCTCCTCTCCGTGCACACAGAATTTTTTGACTTGGGAATGGTTGATTAATTAAAGTGCAGGCACTCATATAGAAGGTCACAGCTGAAGCTCGCTCCTGTCCTACAGCTGTTACAGCCGAGATGACGGCTTAGGCAAACGTTTGCAAGGGAGAAGAGGAGGTCCATATGAACACAGATTCACCTTCACCAGAATGCTGAGTTGTGCAGCTCCGCGTTCATCTAACGGGCCCAGATTCTGGCTGACCAGAGAACAGAAGCTGTGACAAAGATCCAGAATTTCATTCAAGCAGTGGAAAACCTGCACAGGATAAAAAGTACAAGATTGAACTCTGTTTAAGAAACTGCTAAGCCAGAGAAATCTGTTCTTAGCACCTGAAAAGTTGCAGCATTCATCATCAAGATGTTGCCAATACCATGTTTTTCAATCAGTGAGGAAGAGGTTAAAGCACTTGTAGGATTTTTGTAAGGTTTTCTGTGGAAAAAGGAGTTAAACATTGTGCTGCGTCTGGGGAAATGGCAGCCGGCGTGAGCCATCCACAGGCGCATCCCTGCGTGTGGGGCTGAGGAGGGGGAATATAGAGCAGCGGGAGCTGTGGCTCACAGCCTCGGTTTCCCTGTTCACTAAACTTGCCATTTCTGTTGTATCAGTCGGTCAAGGTAACTTGCATGCAGGAGTGTCCAAGAATGCCTCACAGACATAACTATTGGAACACCTGAAGTTCCTGACTGGAGAATGAGTATCCTGCCACCTCTATGCTCACAGACTGAGCACAGTGATGAAACAGACCCGTGCTATTGCTGCGTTTCATCCATACCAACCTCCCTTGGCAATGAGGCTACATGTTTAGTAAGACTACTGGCAACACTGTACCGTATCTTTGACTAAAACAACAATGAAAAAACACCCTTAAAGTCCACTCAGGAGCATCTCAACTATTTTTATCTGGTAAGTATAAGAAAGAAGGGAATTTTTCCTAATCTAATGCATTTCAGAATGAGTCCCTCAGGAACAGAGTTCCCAGCACTGTGCTAATTAGTACTTCTTTAATAAAATTGCCTGTGAGAAAAATATAGCGACAAGATTTCAGTTAATAAAGTTAACTGAACACTGGAATAATCTTGATTTAAAACTGCCTGGAATGCAGCATCCACACTCAAAACTGTAAATTAAGTGATCTTAACTCAGTCATCTGTTCTAGTTTATACCTGCTTCTACTCCCAGAACTGCAGTCTGTGCTCTGCAGCAGATTATCGCTGATCTGTTTTAAAAGAGACGGTTTGTCATATCTGTTCGAGAAGGTGTGTTTCTTAGGACGGTTGGAGAATTTGTAGAAAAAGGTGAAAACACGACCTACTTACAGGTTTTAGGAGGATGAAGGACTGAGCCAACAGATTACTTAAGAAATGATCATGAGCCAATCGTATACTCTCAAAATCTCGCGTGGCATTTATCTGCTGCAGCAGCTGCGAGAACTGAGATTCCAGTACATCCACCTGAAGGATATGGAGAGAAATCTCATTTTAGTATCTTGAGGAACCGGCAGTACTTCGGAGCAGCCATCAGTTTTGTGTAAGAAACTTACTTTCCTTATTGCTACTCTTGCCTTAGAGGCTGAGGATCACCTCTCTGCCTCCTGAACGGGGAATTATGTACAACCGTAGTGCATAACGGGGGGGACAGGACAATTTTTGATGCTTAGGTATTATTTAGGTAAAAAGGGAAATGGTCACTTTCTTTAAGGTTAACTATTGAAAAAATATATAGCTAGCAGTAAACAAAGGTATTTGACTGTAGTTATCTCTGAATTTTACACTGGGAGATATTATCTGGAATCCCAGGGCAAAGGCTGCAGTGCAAAAGCTCAGCCAGATGACTGTGGAGAATCTGGAGAGCCAGGCCCCCTCAATCCACTAAGTCTGGGGACTCAGAGAAAGTTCTAGACTTGTTCCAAAGGAAATCCTGATTTCTGTAAGGTAGAAAGAATCTGAATCCTGAAAGACAGGAGGACTTCAGTGCTCCCTCCATTAATTTCTGCCAGTTCCCGATTAACTGACGCAGTTTACCTTTCTCTGTAATCCTGACCTGCAGATAATACTGAAGATTGTCCACAAGGAAAGCCATGTGATCCCTCAGACGCCACTTGATGGCATCAGTTCTGTTGGATTTCAGGTGTTTGCGTTGCATCTGGAGAGCCCAGCAGTGCTGTAGCTCAGCCTGGACTCGTCGCACGCTCAGCAGGTATTTGAACACAACGTTGTACCTACAGTCAAAAAATACGAAATTGTTTAAGATTAAAATCTTCCTTGGGCACAGGTACTGGAGAATATAACAGTGCAAGACTGAAAAAAACGGGAGGCGGCTGCCAGCCAGCAGACAGGGTAGGTCAGGAGATGGCCCATCGCAGAGCAGCAGATTTCTGCTTGTATTGGCCACTGACCTAAAAAATACAAAGTTAATTTCACTGTAAGGAGGGAAGAGCTGACAATGCTTTGTCAAAGAATTGTTCACCAAAGAGTGCAGATCTGTCAGCACCTCGCAGGTCTTACAGTCATTACACCAAGTGCCCTGACTGTGAGTGGCTGGAAGGAGTCATTTTACGGTTCAATGCGAAAGCTGAAGTATTATAGCTCGAACTTTCTCTCCACAGAGAGGAAAAAAAAAACCAACACAAGTGAGTGCCTGAGATCAGGGAACCTGCAGCCGAATATAGAAAGATCGTAGCTAGTACTTACTTCTCCAGAACAGCAGGAGTGAAGAGAATGTGCAGCGGCCACTGAACTTTGTAAGAAAGGCCCAGAGCTGCCCACCCGGATGCGGGGGCTTCACGTGGAGATAGCTCCCGAGAAGGCCCTTCACGAGTCTGAGAAGTATCTGAAAACAAATGAAGTGCTGAATTCAGTCATCTTCTCAGTCACGACAACCATGGCAAGGAAGAAAAGGGGAAAGAACAGAGTAAGAAGAGCCAAAGCAGGTTAGGGCATCACACCGGGCTGCAAAGGGAACAAAGAACTTCAGAGAACGGTAAGCAGTGGGACTTGAAAACAAAGTCCCCGTCTCCCCTCTTAACTCGCTACTAAACATGCAGGTAGATACCTTTGTGCTCCTTCCCATGATACTCAATGGTTAAGTGAAGCAGAGGAAGAAGGTTGTCATCATCTAACAGTACCTTGTGAGCAGACTGCTGAAATGCAACGTTGACATCTGACAAAGAGAGAGCATGGATATTAACACAGGGTGATGCAGCTCCTGATAATTGTGCATCCATTAATTATTTATGCTTGGCCATAAAAGATCACACTGACACACTGTTTCATTTAATTCCAGTTTCAAAGATGGAGAGAAACCTGCCATCTGAAAGTTTCTGAGATGCTATTTTCACCCACTCTGTGAGGCATTCTGATTCACACGTGCTGTTCTTTCTAAATTAATGACAACAGCTCAAGGATAAGGTAGAGCTCTTCGGCACTGGACAGGGGTAGCTATCTTCCCGCTGTACCACAGTGAGGACAGTTTGGTAAGTGAATTAGCAACACTCACCGTGCTCAGTTACAGCCGTAGGCGGTGTCTTTAACATGTGCTGTGCAGTGTCAATGAAGGCCTGGAACAGCTCGCCTCTTCCCAAAAGGTAAAAGTCTTTTATAATCTGTGGAGATAATTTTTTTTGTACATAAGCATATCAAAAACTGAGTGGAAATTTTAAGCATCCTAGCTGATGGCATCCATTTTTATCACTGCTTGGACAACTTCTGCCGTTTCAAAACACAGCTGGAGAGTGCCAGCTCTCCAGTGGATCCAGTGCCCAAAAAGTCTACACTGCCTTTGCTTCAAGATGCAAACCGCAAAACCACATACACAGACCCCTCTAACTCTGTCTCTGACCAAGTTCTGTCACTCTGTGCTCATCCTTGAGACCTGGAAAATGAAAACAGCTTTACTGAAAAGAAGAAAGTGCAGAACCTAAGACTAATGGGAAAGAGCCGTTAAAAAGAAAGAAAAAAAATTAAGGTGCTTTAGCAAAAACAAGCTGGCAGTTACATTACCTTCAGTTGTCCTAGTAAATCTGATTCCTCCACCATCAGTTTCCAAAGATGCTAGTCAGGAAACAAAAACAAACAAAAGAGATCTCCCCTCAGATTTATCTTGTGAGAACAGCAGCTGTCTTAAAATACTTGTCATGCATGCAAAAAAGCACCTCTATGAAAGGCTACAGAAAACACAGGAGAACAAACTACGAACCCTGCGTGCAGGCAGCCCACACCACTAGTTAAAACACCCGTGATGTATACCACCAGGAAACTTGAAGACCCATGACAAAAAAGAAACAAATTCTTATTAAATCAGTTCCACCCAACTTTGTTCTCACTTTTCTAACCTTCCCATCTTCTCAGGTTTCTCCATCCCGCCCCAAATTAAAAGATCAGAAATTGCCAGAGAATCTAGTGAGATGCCATCTATTATGCTGAAAGCATGATGAAAAGTTCTGAAATTGTTGCAAGTGAAATAAATATATATATATATATATATATAAATT